TTAGGTCAACTTAACCCTGGTTATCTAAGTGTAATATCTGCACACATCATTTTTCCCTGCCGCACTTAGAAAGAGCCGTTAATTTAGGCCTTCTTACATTTTTAGCCAGACATAACACATGCATCCATGGTTTTTTTCCCCCTTAAGAGAAGGCTGGAGTACTCATTTCTTCCAAAGAGAAGTAGAATCCCCTGTTGAAAGCGTTAACTGAAATATTCACATCAGATGCCAACTTGATTCAAACTTTGGCCTCCTGATTGAGAGGTAAAACAACGATGAATGACAACAATCTGCCTTCAAGATAATTTATTATAAACACATTTCTTAGGACTGTGTGTTTATTGTATAAACATACCCTAACCTGTCTATCCATTAAAGTTAGGCTTTTACCTCCCCATTTCTACAATGCAGTTTTATCAGAAATACACCCCCTATGAAACTCTTTATGATCCCAACAGGCTTGATTTCTCCCGCTTGTTTTATTTCCAAACTATAAATATTGTTTTTTCACTCCTCAGTGTGGAAATTTGGCTACCTCCATATTACATGCTTACTGGAGTAGAAAACTGCCTAATCAGATAGGAAAACAGTTGGCGGTGTATAAATCAGGATTTGCTGAGGATTTCAAAGTGTGAAACTGGGCAGACAAGCACATATCCTAGGAGTTCTGCCTTTCCCTAGCTTCCCTGTAGAGATTTCACATGGTAAATATGGTCACCAGGGCCATCTGTATAAATACATGGGTGTGTTGTGTTAATGCAAGACAACAGTTCTTGTGGGGAATGCAATTAAGATTTTATTTTTACATTTCCTCACCAGATGGTCTCAAATATATATTTATCTTCCAGAAAAAAATCCTGATCATCCTGGTTTTGGTGAGGAAATTGATTGTCATATATGCTTGACCACCAACTAGCACTGCATGAAATAAACCTAGGTTCAAATCCAACCTTGGTGTAATTCCCCTAATAGCATTTCAGTTGCTCCATGGATGTTTTTGACCCATACTACCTGTAGGCCAGTTGTACAAAGGGGATGGAGTCATTCTGTGTTATAAACACTGTCTCTCATATTCTTGGTGAAAAACTTTCTTTTTGGCAAATGGTTTCACTCTAACATGACCTGTTTTCCTTAATTGACATTCCTTTCTAACATTTATATCAAAGCTGAGGTGAAATAAAGATTCATGTTGTAGTGGTGACAGAAGGAGTTGTTACACAAGATGTAAAGTTTCCCTTGGACTTCATGTCACTATTTTTTCTCATTATTTAAACAAGGAGTACATTGAAGTGGTGCAGGTACCAGGCAATAAAGGTTTCCCCTGGTGCTGACAAACCCTGAGACCGCAAATGGAGGTGCTTACATGCCACAAGAGATGTTGCTACATTTCTGTTCTTTTCCTCCAGTCTAGGTATTGCTGTCACAGAGGAAATGTCTTTTATGTAAAACAATTATAATGTAGAAATTACATATTTCTAGTTATGTAACAAGGGTTTATTTCATTGTCAGTATATTTTGTTTTGTAATATGTGGAAGGAGTTTCTGAGGATAAAGTTAGAAACTTGTAGTGTATATATGTTGTTGGAATTTCCTTACCTATTTTCATAGTGGTTCTGTTATTCTGAGTAGCAATAGCAAAGCTCAATAAAGGAAAGGTATGCTGTTTAAAAGAGAAATAAGATGAGAAAAAATACTTATTTTATAATCTGAATTCTGAATGCCACTTTTGTACGTGGCACATATGCAGTACCAATATACAAGTCTATTTGCAAAGGTTTGGCAAATTAAAAGTCTTCCTGTGCCTATGGGTTGTTAAAAACAGAAAAAGGAAGCAATCAGAAGAGATTTTTTTATTGGAATTCTGCAGTTCATTATGGATTGCTGATACGGGCGGTGAGGTGTACGTGGTGTGCTAATTCAGAGAGGAAAAATTGGAGGCAGGTCTTGATTTTGAACAGTAGATGGTTGTATGTAGAAGGCAAACACAGGCATAAAACATGTCATTTTACTCAAAATAAGAATGAGATCACAGTTGGACACAGTAAGTGCTTTGCCATTCTGATTTTATCAGCTCTTTTAAATGAAGATAAGGGGTGTAGTTTTTATGAACCTTAGAAAGGTAGCAATTTTTTTTTTTGAAAACATTCTTATTTAAGAAGATCATTTTTAAAAAATAAAAGTATATTCAGTTGAAAGATTTCAGCATCTCTACAGATTGGAAAAAGGTGATTTTTTTATGTTTTATGAGTGGATGCATCCATATGATGAGTAGAGAGGTTATTGACATTAATACCGCCAAATAGCAATATGTCAATACGCACCAGAAGATATAAGGTTTTGAAGAGGAAAGGCATATTATTAATTCCTGTTCTGCAGGTAAAGTAATAGCCACTGGTGAGTACACTTGCTCAATTTTTACCTGTCTGCCATCTGATAGGTTTTCTTAATCAAGAAAATTGTTATACCTTGATGTGTAGCACATTTACATTTTGTTACAAGTTTATTCTTCTGGGGCTAAATCTTTTATTTATATTTGAAACAAAACTCCTCCTTCTTTTACAGGGTAAGGATGGGAAAGGAAGCTTCAAATTGTAAAAATTATCACTGCTGCATAGCTTTGGCAACTTATGCTAGCTTTACTCTTTTGCCCTTCACAGTTTTGCCTTCATGAAGTTGATAGAATTTGACCCTTAAAATCTGCTTCAACCCAAAATGTTGTTTTCTTTGCCAAGCAAGGCTTCAAGAGCCTTGAAAAAAAACCCGGCTTTCCAGATGTGTGTTGTGCTGGAACAGAGCCCTAAAGAGCATATGTGAAGATAATATTTATAAAGCACATTGTCTTTTGAACCCTGAAGTATTAAAGAGCAAAATTGCAAAATAAATAGGAATTTACAAAATAGGTAAAAATCTCATTTATAATGTGTTTTCAGAAAATACTGTACAGGTTTTCACTGTTGGATATTACATGGAAATATAATTTTTGTTGATGTTTGGCAGCAATTTTGGTTTATGTTTTACTACTATCAACATATGTTTTTGTTGGGTCAGATTTGCTCATTTGAGCTTCATATATTAAAAAACAAGGTGCTTGTAGTTGCTGCCTCCGATGATAATTTCATCAATGTGTTGCTACCATATTAGAGGTGAGGTTGGTAATAAATAGAATTATGCTATATTGAGGCACCAGTCATTAGCAGTGCTACAGGGAAAGCATTGGGTAGATTTGCAAATGCCATCACCCCATAAAGACTATTCTTTATTTCTAAATCATGAGAGAGAGTGTATTTTCCAAAGAAAATAGTTCCTTATTATTAGTCAAAGGTATTTATTTAAAATGTTATGCCTGTTCCTGAGATTCCCAGGGAGGCTGAAGGCATACTTGAATACAAATACAGGCCTCTAACAGGTTAATTTTAATATCCATTTTTAATGTAGATTTAACCAATTGGAACTTAGAACTGTGAAAGGCATCCACTTTTTCAAACACTTATTGTTATAACCCACCTGTAAACGGAGAGTTGAGTTTACTAACTTATGATGTGTTACTCCCTCCTACAGTAGTGTACATTTAGCTTATTTTCACAAAAAATATCTAAATATTTGACTAAAAAAATCTTGAAATTAAATGGGTCAAGTTAGGTGTGGTCTAGTAGATACATCACTGATCTTTCAGGTGCTAGGCTACAGTTCAAGTCAAGTTCTTTGACTCAGATTAAGTTAATTTAGTGGTCACAACTCACATTGTTTAACACAGTGGAATTTTATGCTTGAGAGAGGATAGAAACAGAGCTGGCCTTAATGATGAGTCGTTTCTCACCCTTAGGTGGTCTTCTCAGGCTTGAAGTTATTTGGAGGCAGCATTGGGAAATTTAAATGTACCTACTTATGTTGTCCTTGGCTTGTGAATTAAAAAAACACGAAAAAGTTCTTGTTTATTTCTTATATTCCAGTTCTTATGCTCAGGATTTTTTCTCAAAACTAATTAGAAAATTAGATTGAGATAAATAAAAGTAAAAAATGTTATGGCTTTCTTCACTTTAACCAATTTTCTGATTTCTATACTGCTTTACTATTAGCTTCATACCTACCTAACTTGGTCATCAGAAATTCATTTGTAAGCATATTTTATGGCTCACATTCAGCAAGAGACACATAAAAATATCCTATCTCTGGATGGTTGCGTGGTTCATAAAGGTTGAAATCTGTCTGAAGAAGCTTCATGTTATGCATCTTGAGTTGAAGTCTACTTCCTCCAGGGGGGAGGAGAATTTGTGACTCCTGCTTGCAGGATAAAGTCTTACTTGAGTAACAGTTATACACAAATTAATCTTTTTTTTGTTTTTTTTTAAAGGAACTTACAGAGCACCCATCAATGTCTTGTCTGAGTACCGAATTAGGTTTACATAGAGGACATAGGAGACAATGCGATATTTTTTTTTCTCGTTATGTTTCTCAAGTCTACAGATCTTTTTTTGATTTTCTTTTAATTGTTTTTAATGGCAAGACATCTCAAACAATAAGCCATAGCAAACCAGTATTATTTTGGAATGCAATGATGCATAGGTTGTCTTGTGAATAAGGGTTTTCAGGAATAGGCTCTTAAAATGTTTTTTTTTCTGTCGTTTATGATCTAGATTGGAATTACATTTGGTTGTGATAGAGCCACCTGACAAAATAAACCTGATCAGATGGTGTATGAATAGAAACCTCTGGAATCACAAAAAGTGTAATCAAGTTTTAAAAAATGACATGTGCATTTTATTTATTAAATATAGAGAAGCACAGAATGTAATACCAATTCTAGTAATTTGTAGAGTCTTTAGGAGAACTTATATTATGTATTTTATTGACAGTGTAATATTTTGGTATATTATTTTAGCTTCTACAGAGCTCCTTTTATGAAAATACTTTTCTAGATGCAGATGTCCTGTTAAAGAAAATTACTCTTTTCTTTCTCTCCTTTCTCCTACTTTTTTCTTCTGTTTTCTTTTGATATTTAGACAGTCTATGCCAAGTTATTTACTTTTTTTAAGGTAATTGACAACCTTGGACCTCTGGAGTGGATTCTTAATACACCCAGTCATCACAGAGTTCATCATGGTAGGAAGTACTATATCTTTTGATTTTTTTCCATGTTGGGTTTAGATGATGAACACTGTCATCATTTATATTATACTGATAAAATGCAAAGAGGTTTAAAACTATTATTTATGGGGGGGTTTAAATTATAACAGGAACAATTGTGATCTGTTTAATCATTTTTATTATAACTCTTTGTTATCTTTGAATTATAAATGCATTCAAAGTATTTTACCTCTGACACTGAAATTATGAACACTTGATCTCTACATAGATGTGAATTATTTTGGAAAATTTGAACAAAGCAACTCAACACTTGTAAGAAATTGAAAGTAATGAAAAAAAACCTTTTCCTATTCTTAAAAATGTAGCTTACATCTTAGCTCAAATTCAGCTGCTCTTACACCTTAGGATCTAGCACTGAATATCAACATGAAACTATTCCTTTCTGAGAAGTGTTCTCATTTGTTCCAGTAAATTTTTGGATTTCACTTAACTGAATTATTGAAAGACTGCTTTGAACACACACAATACAATTGATATATCTTTTTCATATTTTCTGCCAATATTTGGAGTGGGGGTAGGTTGTATAATAAGCATGTGTTTGGTTAATTTAATGAATAATGTAGTGAACAAATTTAGTCAATAAGGCAAGACTCCCTAGCTGCTATGGGCTTGTGTGCTGGGCTTCTTGTAAAGAACAAACATAAGAAATAGAAAAATAATAATAAGATGGACAAACTGAATTTACTAATTAAAACAGACTTAAATACAACTGTATATGAAAGACATTTTCAATATTTATCATATCTGCCATGTGTTAAGTGTTTATGGCACTATGCAAACTCAGAAGGCAGGGGGTTCACTAGGTTTTCTAATTCTCCAACTTTACACAAGTACTTGTAGTCTCAGAGAGCTAGATTCACAGATCCAGATTCACAGATTTAACAGATCCAGATTCACAGATCCAGATTCACAAATTTAACTGAAAAATAACTTTGCATGTTTGTGATAGCACATTTTTTGCTTAATGGGACTGACATTCATGTGAGTAACACTACAAGATAATGGATAGAAGGGTTCATGGTGCTCACAAGAAAGTCAAAAATAGAAATATGTCTGACTTACATGAAGTCAGAATTGAGTTACATTTTAGGTAGTCAGAGGTAGAACAAAGGGGAGATGTAATTGATGGTTGATAGTGAAAGGTTGGACATGTCTTGTACCTGTTAGTATGATATTCTTCCCTAATAACTCACCTCCATACTTTAGTTGAAGCTAATGTAATTCACATAATGCTTCTAATATGTACAATCACTGAGCCTCCAAACCTTTTCTTTCTTATTACAGGGAGAAATCCTTACTGTATTGATAAAAATTATGGTGGCACCCTCATTATCTGGGATAGAATTTTTGGTAAGTGGGATTAGTTATGTCAATTAATGTAGCAAACATAAACGTTTATGTTCTTATGCTTGATTGTATTTTTCCTCACCTCAGGAACATTTGAGGCAGAGAAAGAAAAAGTTATATATGGCCTAACGCACCCTATAAATACTTTTGAACCCTTCAAGGTCCAGGTAATTCAGTTTTGCTACTAACATTTTACTTTTAACATTACCTTGTATTCAAAAGAATACCATTTTTGATACATGGGTAAATGGGGATGCTCTGTAAGTTGTTTTATAGTGACTTGAAGTGTTTGTTGTACCTTTGGCAAGGTAAGATTTATACCATTTCAAGAAACTACAAAGAAAATATTTGTGCAAATTTCAAATCATCTGGCTGTTCATATTTTTATACCATGGAATGTTTAGGTGTTCGTATGAGAGGGAACTTTGGCAATACTTTTCGATGGTAAAAATACAGCAGGCCAAAATTATTTGAGATATAACTATCGAAGCTAAATGGACCATTGGTTGGACCCCACATGGCACTTCTTATGATTTCATGTATCATATAAATACTACTAATTTGGGGATCAAGCCTGGAAGGTTTGACATTCTGAGGGAGGTTTAGCATGCCTTTGAACTTAATAGGAGAACCTCACAAAACCTGTACCATTAATTGCAAGTACTTTTTACTATGGCAAGGGATGTCATAGCTTTGATTCCCTTCTGATACCCACTGACTTCAATGAGAGTAATATCGGGCCTGCAAACATTTAGGATCTGTTTCAGTATTGTTGAGCTCCCTTTGATTTTTCACAGGAATTGTAGGTACCAACAGATGTTATACTTAAAAGTTTGTGAAGTTAGATCAGATGAAAAATGGCCACTCTGTCTACTTCAGTGATTCCTCACTTGAATCCTCCTCTTGGCAAATTAATTGCAGAACAAATTTAGACCAGATACAGATGTTCTCTGGATCCGATCGACAATCACAGGACTTACTTCAAGCAGCACGATTGTAGATCAGTTGCTAGTTTTACCGATGTTTGCTGGTGCTGGGAGCCTGATTAAAGTAACTCAGGGTGGGGGAAGGGGTGGGCAGGATTTGGGGGGCTAGTGGGTCAGTGGGTCTGGCAGGAAAGAACCTAGTGGGTCTTCAGGGGATTGGTGGGGTCTGGGGCTGGTCTGGCAGGATCAGTGAGTTTAATGTGTCCAGAGGGTGGGGCGAGGGGTGTTTGGCAGGATCAGATAGGCTAGCAGATCTGTGGGAGGGAGGGGAGCGGGCTGAGGCAAGTGGCTGGGCTTTCCCATTCCTGGGGCTGCTCTCTGAATGTGTACACATGTTCAGTAGATTGGGCTAACCCATGCCCAATCTAACAGATGCACTCAGTTACATGGGGAAGCCATTTGTTTGCCCAATCTAACCTCCCAAACTTCTTAATGTATCATCTGTACATACCCTATGAGTGCTCAGAACTTCTGAAAATCAGTTCTTTGGGAGTTACAATCAGAGTAAACTATAATGTTTTGCAAAACTCCTATTTTTTTCTAACAAATGAAGAATAATTACTTGTCCTGTCTTCACAGTTGCATCACTTGACCTATATATGGAGCGTATTTTGGGCCACACCTGGTTTCTCCAATAAGCTGTCTGTCATATTCAAAGGGCCAGGCTGGGGACCAGGAAAACCAAGACTTGGCCTTCCTGAGGAAATCCCAGTGGTAAGTAGAACGTATTGGGCATGTCTACACATTGCTCTATGATGATGTTGTTATGGAGCCGTGCTTTAGTACTTCCTTTGGAAGCACGGCTCAGTACGGGCAGTTACTACACTGTACACATGGCCACTGCATCACAATAGCTGTGCGCTATACCGGGGGAGTGCACCACTACAGCAACATAGCTTATAAAACTAAGTGATTTAATTTGCTTGCTTATCTGCATGCACTCACATTCAGTAGTTCTATCTCCTTCCATGTCTCTCTGTCTCCCCCACCACACATACACACAGTCTGTTTTAGTGTAAAAATAGTTTTATTTATATTTCACAGTAGACTGTGCACATACTTGATTTTGATAACAGCCCTCTATTAATTTTCTCTTTTCCATAATCTTAAGTGGCTGTTTGTACCATTAAATGTATTCCTTTGTGCTGTTAATTAACACTAAAGATACTACTAAAGAATAACATGCTGGGGTAGATAACTAATGAGGACTATTATCTGTGTTGCTGTATGCAGATCACTGGAAAAGAGGTTCCCTTCAACCCAAAATTGCCAGTTCATCTTTGTGTCTATGCAGTCATACATTTTGCCTTGATTGTGACATTGTATATTGACCTCTTTGCTGCTGCAGCTGTAAGTAACTTTCACATTCATAAAAATCTTTTGTCTGGGGTTAGCAAAAATACCTGCTGTGCAATACTTTTAATGTTGAAGTTAAGACAATAAAAGTTAGACATTGAAAGGGCCTGATTTTGACTTATTTTCACAGTGGGAATAACTCCATGAAAATTAATAAAATTAGAACATAGAGTTGGAAAAGACCTCCCAGGCCATTGAGTCTTTGCAACTATACTATTTTTAGAATCAAGCCCTAGGAAAGTGAAAGGTTTCTTATGAATTACACAGCATTTAATTTAATAAAAATTACCTTTTAGGCTTTTGGACTTAGATAAATGAACAGTTATCAAAGTTTTTTCAAAAATGATTTTGTTTGCCTAACCTCTTTAAAGGGTCAGACCTCATTAAAGTGCTTCAGGCCAAGCAGGCAAAAATCTCAGACTCAGAAACCGCTGGGCTCTTTCAAAAAGGGCTGAATTTTGGAAAACATGTTGCAACATGCCGATTGTTGCTTGCCACCATGTTGTATACCTCAGAATTGTGTAACTAGCAATGAAGTCCAATCTGAGTAGCATACAAAGGAGAGATTATACCATTTAGAAGATGGAATTGAAGAAAAACTATTTTATGCAGTATTATATTACAGTTTATATACAAAAGTCAATTTAATCCTGCTCTGAATAATTTTAACTTGTGTCATATGATGTGGACCTCATTTGCGGGGTCACATGTATCTCTATCACCTGGAGATTGAAGATAATGTAGCTAGTAAGCCATCTGTGATACCATATCTGAAGACAAGGGCCACAGCTCTGCAGAACTGAGGCCAGCACACACATTTATATTGTATATGAGAGATCAGTTTCCAGTGTTCATGTATAGTTGATATTCAAGCTATGAATGAGATTTACATCCAGATTCCCTGGTTCTTCTATACCATCAGTAAATCCTACTTATGTAGGGGTCCTTACAGACTTTTTCTGTATTAGCAAGGATAACAGAGTTTTGTACATGATTTTGCCTGAGTTTACTTTTGTCTGGGAAGGAGGAATACATAGTACATGCCATTTCCTCTACTGTCATTTATAGCTGCAGCTCCTTAATAGTTATTGTAGTAGAAAAGGGGAAGAAATAATAATAATAGCAACAGCTTTAATATTATTGAATTCCCACAAGCCTATAAATGAGCCACCCTGAAGAGTCATAATTGTGAATTTAAAATTGCAGAATGATCAGAAAAAACAACCTGCACAAAACATGAGCTTAAAAGGCTGCAGTGACAGAAGGGAAAACATGTTAGAACACAAACCCCAGAGCAGACAAAAAAAACAGTTCTGCATAGAAGGCCAATGAAGAATCTGTCCCAAGTTGAAAGTACATATATGAATAACTTCACTTGGCAAATTTGTTATTCAATATCAGTTTTCCACTACAGTGAGTTATGCAGTGGCTATGGACACAACTGGAACTTTCTGCCCTGCTATGAATTGTCATAACCATGGCATAGCTCCATAAATAGAGAAAGCTAACTGTTTTCCTCATTTTTAGCTATAAGTTCAATTTCATAATAACAGTAAGACATTCTAGGCAGCACATAGTTATTATATTTCTTGAGTGATTAGTTACTCAGTACTTGGTCTCATGCCCTGTAAAAATGTTAAATTTCTCCATATACAAAGGACAACTGTTTACCATGAGACAAAATACTCTACATTTTGTAGCTTAAGAAAAAAGCAAAAGAAGAAGGAAAAAATACTAATTTTCCACAAGAGAGAGCATATAGTATTTATTTCCTTTGTAGCAGTCTGTGCTATATTTGGTGAACAAGAAACATTGCAGAACTCTTTGCATCAAAATGTGATCCAAGGCTCACTTTGGATCAGCCCTAGAGAGAGTGATAAAATGCAAAGACTCAATACGTATAAAAAAGAGCAATAGTTTAATAGATACTTGCACTTTGATTTATGTAGTTCACTTAACACTTTCTGGAATTTTGTCTCAAACGCTGTTGGATACACAGGATAATACAAAGGATTGCATTATATGACTGATTTTGATCAAACCAAAAGAAAAGCAAAAAAAAAGTCCCAAAGTTGCAAACACAATTAATATTCTGAACCAACAGGAAATCATTGTGGTATCTGTATCCCTGTATATTATTAAAAATTTACAGAAGTTTTAGGAGTCTTCAATTAAATCCCTGTACATAGGGAAACCTAACAGAGCTAACCTCTTAGGCTAGGGACATACATTAACCATAAACCCGTTTAAGTGATCAGAAACTGGTTTAAACCTGTAACAGAACAGATGTTCAGTGTACATAAACGAGTCTGAAAATGGCTGAAACTGATTTGAGATAAACCTGGTTGAATGTAGTATCAGACTTAACTGATTTGGCTCAAACTGCAATGTCTGTCCCAGACCTCTTGCTGGCTTAAGATAAAACAGACACCCCCAGCATCCTGGCATGCTGTCTGAGCTGGGCAGGGCTCTCTGCTCCACAGCAGGTCTCCCCCTCTGTCCCCCCGCTCCCTGGCTGGAGCTTGGTACAGATTTGCAGGCACAGAGTATCTGCCTGGCTTCTCCCTGCTAAACAGGAGTTATTCTCCCCTCCCCTCTGCCTTATGCAGACACATCAGAATTAACTAGCAGACCACATGCTGGCTACAGTCTGTGCTGTGGGAGAGGACTGAGGCAGACAGACTTTTTGGAGCTAATCAACAGGTAGCTTAATGTCCTTCCTTGGAAGAGCTGTTTAAGAAGAGGTCCATTAGTTAATGGAGGGAGGCTTTTCTTAATGAGTTGATAAACACTGAGTTAAGGGTGATAAACATTCCCTGCTGGGCATCTCAGGAGGAGGGGAATAATCAGAATGTCCTGCTGGGGCCTGGCCACCCCCTCCCCTCCCAGCTGTGCCCTGTGGAAGCAAAGGGACATAGGTTACAAACTGATTTAGCTTAGACAGGTTAGACTAACTTGCAAAGATTGAATCTATTTAGGCTCAGGCTTTTTGAATGTCTGTCCCTAGCTTTAGTGTTGAAATTCAATCCTTCATTAGTACTAATAATTGTGGAAATGTAGTATATGATTAAATAGTGTTGAAATGTTGTAGCAGATATGATGGTTCAGGAAAAATGGGAGAGGAACAGTCCCACATTCTTTTGTTTCTGGGAGGAGCTTGGGGATAGGAAGACAGACCAGGAAGGGCAGCAGCCAGAGCCACCTCTCCTGTCCTGCTTAGGGTTATCAGAGAGCTCTAATGTACCATGAGTGCATGTGTGCCATAGCCCTGCATGTGGGCAATATTACCTGGCTGCTGCCATGGGGGGCAGTGCCTGCATAATGAGAACCACTCTTAAATCATGCAATATGCCATAATGAGAAATACATTTGTTGGATTCTGAAATATAAAAGTAAATCTGATCTCAGTTAAATGTGTGCATTGTGATGGGTGTGTTTGCTCTGTTAGAATAACATATTTCTTCTTTACTTAAATCTGTGGTAATCTATTGATTACTAAGTAATGGAAATTTATTCCCAAAATTCCATAACCCCCTTTGTAGACATTGAGACATTGTTAAAGCTTTCAGTAAAATTGAAATCCAACAGAAATATTTTTTTTTCTGTTTGATTGCAGCCAATAACCACATTGCAGGGTTGTGGCTGACTTGTAATTGGGGGTCCTGCTGTGGTCCCACAGGTTTCTCTGTTTATATAAATACTGCAGTATATAAATACTCATTTATTTTATATATACATGCATATATATAATGTTTGGAGTAGAAAGAGTATGCTAACACCAACACTAAGTTGTAAAAAGCACATTCTTTTCCTACTGCAACTTGCAATGAATATATTTAATATATCACGTTTAGTTTAGTGATAGAACCCACTGACTTTTTTGTTGATCTTGGTAGAGTAATGCTTAGAAAATTGATGCTTCAGCTTCCAGGACCCACTTCATAGTGTGACACCGTTAAAACAAGTTGGAAGTATAAATAATGTATGACTACAGTGTTAGAACTACACAGAGTAGTAAAATAAGTACACATTTATGTTTTGGGCATTATTTTCTAAAAGCTTCAACATAATGGAATAAACCTATTATGGCATCACAGTATGTTGGAATGCAGATTACTATGATTTATTGTAACTTTACAAGATAGCCATGAGCTGAATTATCTATGGGGAAATGGCTTGTTCACCATCTACTGTGAAACCTGATTTAAAAATGCTACACTGATACCTGCCAACAAGCTCATGTGGTCCCCACTATTCCAGAAAGCTTAGCACTTAGAGAATAGAGAAACAGAATGTAGCACTTAGACAACAGAGAAACTAATGCAGTACATTATTTTTCTTTGACAATGGAATGGTTTATATGTATGTGAAAGTTTTAGGATTGCACTAACTTGAACGTAATGGTGATCTAGGCTAGGGAGAGAAGTTACACATGAACTGGTGTAAGTGATCATAAACCGGTTTAAACCTGTAACAGAACACAAATTCAGTGCGCACAAACAGCATTCAAAATGTCTGAAACTGGTTTAAGATAAACCTGGTTGAATGTAGTATCAGACTTAAGAGATTTAGGTCAAACCAGTTTAAGGAACTTCTGTCCCAGATCCTTTCCTGGTTTAAGTTAACACACAGTCCCTCAACATCCGACAACCCAGGATGCTTTGCAGCCCTGGGCTGGACTGTGCTGTCTCCTCCATTGGAGCGGGGTTGGCCCAGGCCCTTTGCTTCCTACCTGAATTACTATCACTGCTCCAGCTGGTTGAGAAGGGACTGGGGCTGGGGGTAGGAAACTGTGCTCAGGACTGTAGCTGGGGTGTGCCTGGCAGGGGCTCAGAAGTTCCTGCCAGGCTTCCTGCTTGGGGTGGGGGATGTAGCCAGACCCTGGCAAGCATTAATTCTCCACTCCTTCCCCTCTCCTACTGGCATGGGACCCCAGCTGGGGTCTGCCTGGGAGGGGTGCAGCAGCCCCACTTGAACAGGAAGATGCTGGCACC